GTCCTTAAAACGTCTTCAGTTAAATTGTTTACATTTAAGGTCATGCAAATTCTTCAATGATACAAAAAGTCTAAATTATAAGAGGTCTTTGGGGACGGAAAGACAAGAATTGCTATATGGATTAATATGACGATTAAACTTCAAAAGGCTACGATGTCACTGAATAAACTTGAGCGCTGCACGTTTCAAAGTCGTGTAGTGTACAGCTGTTACCGGAAAACCGCTATATTTATGCGGTTCCGAAAGTGAAACCTGCTGGCAGAGAGCGAATTTGTATTTTCAATAAGACTGTCTGCTATTTTTGCTACATATTTTTAAATGTGAACCAGTGGATCGACAAAAATCTAATGCATTATAAAAATCTAAACAATTAAGACACTAAGATATATTTACATGTTATTTTATATAATAATTAACTGATAATAATTGTTTGAATTAATATAATAATTCATACTTTTGACTCATCCCTTTTCTTAAAAATTGTTTAAAGGCTGAAATGTGAAGTGCAGATCTTAAAAAGGTCTTTAAAGGTCTTAAATTTGATGTTAAAAATCCTGCAGATACCAGGTTATTTTATGGTACCATTTGGAATAACTATTTTTTTTTTTAATTAAGTCCTTTTTAACTGTTCTTTTAGGTTGTTTTGAATGTTCTGTAGGCTACTGATAAAAAAAGGACAGAGTGTCCGTACGGTGCGCACATATTTATGCCTAGTTTATTTTTTATAAATCCCGATATGTGCGTGGAAAATTTGTCAGAAGAATTTGTCATGTATAAAACCTTTATACATCAGGCCCCAGGTAACCAAAACTTTGAAGATCCAAAAAGCTCATAAAGACATTGCAAAACCAATCCATATGAACCCAGCAGTTTAATTCGGGTTTTATGAAGAGATATTATTGCTTTATATGATGAACATATTTAATGTAGGCCTTTTATTTTCTTTTCTTAATGAATTGAAAATGGCTAGTTTGGTTACAGGTAGTGATATACAGGATGCATTTAGGAGTAGACATAGCATATAGATGTCTTCAAAACTAACAGACATTGACTAAAAGCACATAGAGAAGGGAATGTTAGCACTCAAATATGTTTAGATTGGCAATCGTATTTAGCTTCAGTGTGGATGTAAACAGGTGCTGGTCTGAACCTAAAGTGACGATTGACTGTAATGTGCTGCATATGCAATCTTCAGAAATAACTTTTCTAGCATATGTTTCTAATGACATTGAGTTATGACTTACATAAGTTTATGCAGATAACTCAATGAAAATCCATTGGTTTTCATCTAATCAGGGTCTGCATGTTCCTCATTTTCCTTACCAAATAATACAAGATCATTTTAGCCATTACATTGGTGGTTTGTATCTCACAAGCTGTGTTGTGTCATTGATGGCTTGTGAGAAAAATATATTAAAAATCACTGTTGAGAGGCTCCACAAAATAAGAAGAGTCTAAGCCATTACGTCATAAGCAGCAGGCACACATATTGCATGCAGTCGTTTAAATGTTAATGATTTCGTTTGGGAGAAGAGCTATAGCTAGTGCTAGTGACTCAGACCCATTTTTATCCCCTTCGCTCAGCGCTGGTGGGCTTGGTCGTTCTGAGCTGGAGAAGTTAAAAAATAGTTTATTGCATCAGATATGCTGGACTAAGCTCTCAAATACGGTTCATTCCTCCCTATACATCTGTTTCTTTGTCTCTCTCTCCCTCCCTCTTCAGGTCTGTCTTTCTTTCTGTTTGTAGAGCTTATTGAGCCAAATCTGACATTTGGTAAATACGGCAAGAATAAGCTTATGTTTCTTAGGCAGACAACTTTCTGTTTTCTTCTCAGCTTATGCGATTAATGCTCACTACAATAAAGAAGCTGTCCTACTGTGTCTGTCTTATTGGAGTTATTAACACTAATTCTGACAATCCCAAGACCTGAGCATTGGTACATCTAAGCTTAGGGCAGGTGGGTTGTTATTGAGCAAATCATACAGAGGGGAGACATATATCTACAAATGTTAATTTGTTTGTATGGCTCTTTTTCACATGTGGATGATTACTCACTAATTACTTTGAAACTGGTGTGTTTTATGTCTGTCTGTGTTTGTTTTGTTGATGTGTTGTTGGTTTACTTGCACAGTTTTAAATTGTTAGACTCCATGTCGTTGTGAAATATGCTTGTACTTGAAATGTTTTTCTTTCCTCTTCTCTAGGTTAAAACAATAGTTTACTCCAAAATTAAGTTCTATAATTTACTCAACCTCTTGTTGTTTTAAACCCTTATGCCCTGTTGAAAAAACCAGCATATGCTGGTTAGGTATGTTCAAAACATACCTAACCAGCATATGCTGTTTTTTTCAACAGGGTGACTTTGTTTCTTCTGTAAAAACACAACAGGAGAAGTTCTGAGGACTGTGATGGTCGCTAGATGTAATTATAATGAATAGGGCCTAAAGCTTTCAAGCTTTGAAAAAGGACCTACTATCTGGTCTGTTCATCACAATACGTTTTCGAATGGTTTCAGATTTCTTCGATTTTAGCGCATGAGTCACATGGACCACTTATATGGTGCTTTGTTGAAGCTTGAAAGCCTCAGTTCTTTGTAACTGCATGCTTTCCTTTAGTGTTCCACAGAGAAAGAGAGAAGAAAGCGAACTACACTCGATAAATCCTGGCTTCTCTTCAATATTACAGGTTTACTGGTCCAAACCTGCCATCACCCATCATCAGCAGCAAGAACTGGCTGAGACTCCACTTCACATCCGATGGAAACCACAAACTGAAAGGCTTCAGTGCTCAGTATCAAGGTAAGAGATGGGCTGTCGTGGGACTGGTCCCTTTACTTGTGTCTATGTAACAGGACAGAAACAGCTCAGGGGTTCTGGTTGTCAAAAACATCTGGAAAATGACTTGAAGAGACTAGAGAAAGGGAAAGGATAAAGCTAGATATGTGCCAGCCTTTATTTACAACACATTCTACACAGCATCCTGACCTTTGCAAGTTTGTGATTCCTCATTTTAGTTTCTGTTTGTTTGTTTATTGAATGTAGAAACTAATGTTGTGTAAAGAAAAGGTTGTGTGTGTGTGTGTGTGTGTGTGTGTATATATTTATATATGTAACGGTTCACAAAATTCACGGTTCGGTTCGATACGATACAGTGGTGTCACGGTTCGGTACGTTTTCAATACAGCAAAAAGAAAGAAATGCCAGAGAAATTAAATCATGATTTGTTAAGGTGATTTGTTTTGCTGTTTGAATCAGTTGGAAATGCCTGCCTAAATGCTGCCAGGGATAGTTTGTAGAGTGTGTTTCTGATATCGATAGGAACAATATTATAAAAAGCCTCAAACTGCCAAGAATGCCCACAACAGATGTCTGTACCTACAAACTGAAAAATTAATTTGCCAAGTCTATGAAACCTCCTCCTATAAAACTATATAATATTTTAGGAAAGAAAACTGCACAAATAAATTAATGTTCACCTTTTATTTGTATTTAGCCTTCATTCAAACAAAAAAGTGTGGAATCACTGTCAAATAAATGTAAAAGACTTGCTCACTTACTCATGCTTACCTTAATAATATTAATATATTTAACTTTAAACTGTAACATAGGCTGATTATTCTTATAGATTGAAAGAAAAGTGCTTCAGCCAGGATAAAGAATATGAAAAGTGCTCAGAGTTGCTGCAGAAAACAAAAACAGAGCGAGCAACAACAGAAACGTGTTTCTGTAGACGGGCTCATTCTCTGCCAGCAGGAGGTGCTTATGGAGCGGTAGTAACAGTGGTTTCCCCGGTAACGGCTTTACACAAAGCAGCGCTGCGCTCATGGACGCTGCTTTATCAGATAAAATGAAAATGTCATCGAATCTTTTCTGAAGACAGTTGGTTCCCTTCAAAGACATTCATATAAAACACCTGCGCTGCGTTTTGATTTTGAAACATGCAGTGCTCATGTTTATTTAACGTCAAACGCCACAAATAAATCAATGAATGGGAAACACTGGCAATGTGTATCAAAATATCGGAAATATGTTTAAAAATTATGTCACCGTTATTGAAAAAAAAATTATATTGCCATATATATTGATATTAAATTATTGTCCAGCCCTAGTTACTAGCCATATTGCAATGAACGATCTAGTTCAGCCTATGACTGACTGGAATAGTGTGTTTTTCTTTGGGCAAATGAAAATGCCATCGAAACTTTTCTGAAGACAGTCGGTTCCCTTCAGAGATACATTCATATAAAACACCCGTGCTGTGTTATGATTTTGAAACGTGCAGTGCTCATGATTATTCAACGAAGTCAAACGCCACAAATAAATCAATGTATGGGAAACACTGTATCAAAATATCAGAAATGTGTTTAAAAATCAGATCAACGTTATTAAAAAAAATTATATTGCCATATATATTGATATTAAATTATTGTCCAGCCCTAGTTACTAGCCATATTGCAATGAACGATCTAGTTCAGCCTATGCCTGACTGGAATAGTGTGTTTTTCTTTGGGGGCTGTTGCGTCGTTTGGGCTGCCTTGTTGATTGCAGTGGCACTGAAAACATTATATTTCACACACTTTTTATTTTCCAAATGTAATAGGATTAGTCCAACGAATCATTCGGTTTGTAATCCGTACCAAACCGAAACCCTCGTACCGAACGGTTCAATACGAATACGTATATATATATATATACAGTGGGTACGGAAAGTATTCAGACCCCCTTAAATTTTTCACTCTTTGTTATATTG